ACTTAAGTATCCCTCGACGTGGGTGGTGATATCTTCATCGGGTTTGGGAGCCACCATGTGCTTGTCAACCCAGTTGCAATCTTTTATGACCGTAGGGAGGATTTCTTCAGTGATCGAGCATACGTATCTTGAGACCTTCTCACACTAGCTAGGTACAGAGGGAGGTTTTTCAACCTTGAAATCGGCGGTTACCGAGCATCCACCAGGGATGAAGGTGTTCAAGAGGGGTTCCGCTACTGGTTCCTCGACAGTAGTGCACAGAACGGTCTCCTCGACATCCGACCGTGATGTAGAAGGAGTTTCCTTTTGGGGAACTATTTTTGAAGTCTTCGCCATTTTCTTTTAAAATGTAAGGGATGGGAGGAAAAAAAGGAAATTAAAGGAGTAAACTTAGTGGTTTGGAATGAAGACGAGCAAAAGTTCTCACAAAAATCTCAAAAAACCACAATACAAGTGCCAGAAAATATAAGAGATTTCTAAAGAACAAGGGTAGAAGGTTTGGATGTAAAGTTTGAATGAATGAAGAAGAAGGTATTTATAATTTTCAAACGGCGGTTCGCATCCAGGAGTAGCCAACCGACAACTGACAAGCATTTAATGTCATTAAGACGTGACTGAAGAGATGTTTCGTTTATTTTATCATTTCTGACGCGAGCGGGGTATCGAGGTGAGAATCGAAAGCTCATATTGTTTCTCGTCGTCTACTCTCCGAAAAACGAGGGGACTATCTGTATATAGGTAAAATCGGTCTCAAAGCACATGTCGGTCTCTGACATAATAAGCTAAGATCGAGATATGGTAACTGGGGGCCTAGACCGAGGTAGGGATCTCATCCATTCTGAGTCCGGACCATAAAACTCGCCTTTGAAGATATCGGGGACACGATTCGGATCGGTCTTGGCCTTGATTAACTTCGAAGAACGTTGTCAGGTAATCAAGTTCGACCAACAGAAGGCCATGATATCCGTAACCGACCGAATATCATGGCGGAGATCTCCGCATATGTCGACGTAAGATCATCAATTAGTTAATTATGGGATTTTTACCTTTTATAGAGTTGTACCTAATATAGGACTTCCCTACTATATAAAGGGAGATCTGATTACTTGCCGAACAGATTGTAACACGCATTCCAAAGCAATATATTATCATTTCCTTTCTTTAAGCTCTTGTTCTTTTATGTCTTGATACTTATCAAATTGCATCCAGTTCAAACTCCCCAAGGCTGTAACTGATTAATTCTTGTGGTTTGAATTTACTTTGTTATTGTTTATTTTAATTGTAATTGTAATTTATTGCTTTGTATCAATTTAATCCACGTATACTTAAAACTATTTACAAATTGAATTGTTATGCGATTATGAGGGTAAACATATTGAAATGTCCGGTTGACCGTTCTAAGTTCTAATGGAGAATCTTTATCCAAATTCTGACATTTTAACATTAGAATAAAGCGCATACGGTGGAGGGACATAATAATTACAAACGATAATTTTGCTCGTAATTGGAGGAAAAGAAATAGGTGAGTACAGCTTTATCTAGAGAGAAAAGCAAATAAAGAACGTTTCTGATAAAAAGGTAAAAGAACAGACACTCGAAATCTTTTGTGATCGTATTATGTTTCTTTCCAATGCTTATGCTGCCCTCTTTAGCGAGATCATCTGATTCGTTAGAAAGTGTTTGGTTTGAGGAATCATCTTTAATTATAGATTTCGGTTTGATCATTGGACTAAAAAAAAATAGTAGAAGAGAATGCTTCCCACTTTAATGAGCGCATGCAATACCAATTCAAATTAGCCAAAGCCCTAATATATATATGTTGGACAAGGATAAAAAATCAAAAAAAAAAATATTATTAATTGAAGGTATAACGGAAAGTCATGTTGTATCGGAAATGTTTTTGACGAAAATTATTTTCTGCAGAAAATGTTTTCAATTTGTATGGTTGGTCATGAGCGAGATAGATATTAAAAATTATTATGATGTCATTAGCAAAATAGTAAACGTTTGATTAAATTTCTGTGTACTAAAGATTAAAAAAAGAAAAGAAGATATCAATTGAAACAAGTAACATAAAATGAAAAGTTAAGATAATAGTAAGAAAAGGTAACACCCGCTTAGAACAACAACAACAACGACCCAGTATAATCCCACAAGTGGGGTCTGGGAAAGGTAATATGTACACAGACCTTACCCCTACCCCGAAGGGTAGAGAGGCTGTTTCCATGAGACCCTCGGCTCAAAAATAAAACAACAGGAATATAAGTTGTGGAATTATTATTTTCTTTTTATATTTATGATGAAAAATATTTTTTGATTACCCAAACACCGGAATATAAGTTGTTCATAGCCAATATTTCTCTCTAAAAAACCTTCCACCATAGCAAACACTTATTACTACTAAGAATCTCCCAAATTTGACAATCTAACCTAAGGCGCTAGATCATCACATTCATTTATCTTCCTTTTTATCATGTGATTCAACAGTTGAGCTGACCAACACTTATGCAGATTAAAATTTGTCCTGAAGCTAGGTGCCTATGACTTTGTTTCTCAAAATTTTCAAAGTGAGATTCTGAATTTGTGATTTTCTACACCAAAAATATTCTCCTAAATCAAGGTATTCGGTCTTGGATGGCGGCTAGAAATCGTTTCTTCAGTTACACAGCCCCTCGGACTTAGTACAATATAGATAATTATATAACCTACTCATGCAAAATCTTTTTGCTCCATATATTTTGTGTACTTACAAAATTTTTACAGCTTCCTCAGCTAATTATAAAACGCACAAGATATGGCATTTGTTCAATGTACTAACTACTAAGCTGCGTGGCAAAGATGATCGGACTAAAGCGACCCTTGAGACAACAATATGATTTGCTTTTCTGCAGATTAATTGTGACCAAAGACGCCAAACCATTGATTTCTTGTACGTACGTATATATTTATATATACCCCTAGAAGACGCACGGATGTCCTTTTAATAATTGTAAAGATATCTATCTCTGAATTTGAAGAAAACGACACTCTTTGTCCTAACCTCTCTGGACAAAAACAAATGACGAAAATCTCTACTTGTGTTCTTTCGGTCTAGTATTTTTGTATCGTCTATAGGTGAAAGCTCAATAGTAGGTCTGTATGAAATTAGTACAGGAAAGAAGCAGTCACATGCAGAGATTTTACAATGACAAGGACATTAAAAACACCACATATATAACGCAAAATTCAATCATGTTCAGGGAGTCAAAAAGGTAAGTTTTTCGAGATTGCAACGGGAGATTGAAATTAGTAGTCACATTATGATCTACGAGCTAAATGGTGGGAATAAAGCGAATTTTTCCAGATATTAAATATCCAAAATTTAAAACATGCGAGAAAATTTCGCAGTAGATATGTCGTTTGGTAGGGTGTATAAGAATAATGCGAAATAAGATGTATTAGTAATGCATGGATTAGTAATGCATGGGTTAGTAATGCAAGCATTAGTTATGCAGATATTATTTCTTATCTGTTGTTTGATGTGGTGTATTAAAATTATAATGCATTGCATAATTTTAAAAAAAAATAGTTGTTTACAAAAATGCCCTCCATATTCTCTAGCTTTAAAAGACTTTAAGGAAAATTTTATCTTTAATTATACTAATGCATGCATTAATAGCCTTGGTATTACTAATGCCATGGTTTTCTATGCATTACTTATAGATAGGATAATACCAAGTATGATGTATAACCAATACTGAAAACATGTACCACACAAATTATTAGTAATGCATAAAACTAGTGCTTGCATTATTCTTTTCTAATAAACAAATTACCAGAAATTACCACAAATTACCAATAAACAATGAAATGCAGCCGATATAGGAAACACAATTACACCAAACATTAAAAATAAATAATGAAGGAATGTCCACCCAATAACACCCCACTATTCCAGAAAGAAGGCTTTTTGCTGAAAATAATTGAGTAGATAAATTGACTACATTAATTTTTTCCGGCAAGGTTACCGAGGAGAATGTTTGTAGGTAGGTCCCATTCAAATTAAGAAAATGCAATACAATGCACTCGACCCCTTTGTTTTCTAGGTGCATGGGATATATATATACTATATAATATGGTGGCAGGATAATTGAGTAAAGTATGTGCCATAAAAGTAAAGGTAACAGCTCAAACGCATCATTCATAGAAACATGCCATCATTCGACGAGATGCAACTTTAATGGATTGCATAAATTAAACAAGTTCATTTCTGTTTTTCTTTCAAGGTAATATCTTATCTTATGATTTAACTATAACTATATATATATGATGAATAGTGGATCAGAATGAGAGTCGTATGACCTATAATTCTCGAATTCAAATCGTGAAAGCAGCCACTAATATTTGTATTGACAATCATTTTCAGGACCTTACCTAAACCGAGATGCTTTGTGCAATGTGCTGCCATTACAAAGGCGGATTACTCTTTGAAAATGGGTAACGTGTGTTAGCATGTGATAAAAGTATATACGTTCTCATGTTACCTGGTTGGTTAGCTGGTTGTTATCTTTAGAATCATATCCTACTCAGGCTTTTAATCAAAACATAAACAAAGGTGATACTACAAAAGATTATAGAGCTGGAAAGAACTGACAATCCTCAGTAATGACCTGTTGACAAACTCAAGCAAGGAAGATAAAAGCTTTTACAATGTCCTTAATGACATAATATAACTAACTAGCTAAAATAGATTTTCTAACCACTTAAATTTTTAAATGAGATCATGATCAGGCATTTTAACATGATAATAGAACTGCATTAGGTCCCAAGTTCAAATCACACCACCACTCAAAAAAGCAAAAAATTATTGAAGTTAGTTTTTTAGACGAGGTTATCGCACATTTCAACACAATGAAGGAGCATTTTTTTTAATCCTTACTTAGAAAATTACGATAATCCTAAATGTAATAAGCTCTCAAGAACCAAAGGAAAGATCCGTCATTTACAAACATGACTCATAATTCAAAGCAATGCAAACGAAAGAGAAGTTTCATAGCTCAAACAAAAGGAGGGTCAAAAAGAAATAACACAATATAGCCATTCTGTTAGTAGTAGTAGCAGTAGTAGAAGTTTTAATTATACTGGAAAGCAACTAAACATGTCACTCAGCCTATAAAAATTAACTTAAAAACAAACAGAAAAACACCACCTTCTATTTCTTTCCTTTTTCTCTGCAGCTGCTTTAATTAATTTAATTACCAAGATGATCCTCCGCCCAACATTCCATTCCAAAATCCATGAGATTCAGCAGCTTGCCCTCTATTTTGTTCATCAAACTCATGATCATCATTTGGCGTTGAAACATTCTTCAAATCATCCAAAGGAAAAAACAGTTTTGCTCCAGCAGTTTCTCCTTGTAAACTTCCATACCCATTATTATTATCAAACCCATCCAAAGAAAAATTAAGTGTAGGCTTCAAATCATGCAAATTAGGTAGCCCAGTTGATGATGATGAGTACATAATATTATTAGAATCCGAAAGCTGTGGCATAATAGAGGACATAAATGAAGTTGTGGAATTAGGGTTCATTAAAGGTAAGGCCATAAACTCAGAAATGTTACTGAAATTGCTAGTAGCGGATGGGTTAAAAGCTAAATTGAGATCATGCGGTTCATTTATTATTTTAGGGTTTTGAGAAGAAGTTGGAATTGTGAGATCTGGAATTTTTTTGTATGATGATGACGTGGAGGATGAAGAATTATTAGAAGAGGAACTAGATCTTTTGTTTTTTCTTGAACCGCCACCAACAGGAACATTTCTTAAAGAACCACCTTCAGTCCAATACCTTCTACAAGTTTTGCAAAAATACCTTGGCTGAGAAAGGCTATAATTGTTATAGTAACAGAATTTTGTGTTTGTTGAATTGCATCTTGGACAATTTATTGCTTGTTCCTTTTGTGGCCTTGGCTTTCGTTCTGTTGGCACTGGTTTTGAGGGTTCCACAGCTTTCACTAGTCCTATGCCCTGTACAAAATAAGAGAAGACAAAGAAAATAACGCCATAGACTAAGTGATCAAAGAAACAAAACGGAAGCAAGAAAACAAATTAAAGTAATAACTAGTGCTTTACACTTTTTCAGGCAGTGGCTATAGCTACAAGTAGTAGAAGAAGCAATAAAAACAAATTAAACTGGCTTTTTAGGTAACTTTATTGGATAGTGGAAAAAGAAAAAGGACGAAAAAAAGATGATATGAAAGATCACAATCAAAAAGGATGCATGGGCAACACCACAACAATACCATAAATTAATTACGATTAAAATTAAAAATAAGAAGACCCTAATATTATATCAAAAACAAAAATAGCCTAGAAAATCTAAACCCTAGAAAGATGTATTAATTCAGTAGAAGAATTAGAGAGAAAACTACATGTTAATCTTTTACCTGTGGCCAGTGAGAAGTATCCATATTGAAGAAAGGGCAGGGAGGGGCAGACAAAAGCGGAGACGAAAAAGCAAATGGGGGAAAAGAGGGAGTGAGTCGCAAAGCAGATGATGAAAACAACGCACTTTCTAACACATGAGGCTCTGGTCCTAAAGCAAGGAAAATGCCACTTAACTTGAGATGGTCTCTTTGGCGGTTCCATATATCGGTTAGCAACCGAGAATAACATATTCTGGAATTTCATTAATAAAGATGTTCAAAATTTATAAATATATTATAATTTGACTTATATAAATTGTGTAAAAAATTGTCTTTGATATATATATATATAAACCTACATACAGAGGTGAATCCAGAATTTTAAATTTATGGGTTCCTATAACAATCTCAAGTTAATCTACATGATAACTGGACCAACGAACTGGATTCCAAGCTAAATATTCTTATACTTTTAATGAATTTTTTAGTACAAATACAGGGTCTATGCAAAAGTTACTGGGTTCACGGGAACCCGTAACCTTTGCTCTAGATCCGCCCCTGCCTACATATATTGTTTAATTATTCGACAAAATATGTTCAATTGATTATTCTCGAGTCTATATCACTCCGCCTCTGAACAATGGAGGGCAGAAAGATGCGAATACACTTTTCATTTTTATGATAAAAGTCATTTTTTGAGAAAAAACAAGAAAAAATATTTTTTGGTATTTGATTCCAAAAACACATGTTTTTTTTGAAATGGAGAAAATAAGTTTCCTCATTCATATGATAAAGGTATTTAACTTTATTTTTATAATTATCTTAACTTTTAATTTTATGTTCCAACAAATACTAAGATATTATTATCGAACTTTAAATACTTTAAAGCTTCACAAGACACTATATTTGCTAACGTTATTCTTAATCTTGATGCTTATACACAAGTAATTGCATAAGAAAGGACACATGGAACCGGAGGCAGAAGATAGTCAAAATCGAAAATATTGTTCCATTTATTATCAGAAGGAATGATACTCATAAAGATGCAATTGTTGAAGAAGCTGATCATGATAAGGATAAGTCTACACGAGATAAGGATGGTTAGATTGCATTGTAGAGTTTGTATTTAACTCAATGTAGTAGTCATACATGTAGTAGAACTCTAAGCCCCTAAGTCATCTTGTAATAACTATCACTTAGTCTAGTTTTCGTTTGGTTTTTTTGACTTGTATAAATGCAGTCACTTGTGGCTATGTAATGTATGTGAAAACACACGATTACTGAACATAATTCCTTCCCAATCTTGTATTTTTCTACATGGTATCAGAGTCTTCTGAAGCTCCGCTGCCCACACCAGAAACAAGATCAAATATGGCCATAACAACACCCTCAACCCCTTTATGTCTATCACATGCTTCCTTGCATCATTTGATTGCCTCTTGTCTAGTTAAGTTGAAACCTTCAAACTATCTATTTGTAGGACACAAATACTCCAGTTGATTCAGGTAATGAAGGTGACAAACCTGATCAAAGAAGGCAAGCCAGACACAAGCAGTTCATCCACTTCTGTTGGAGATGATAAGGTTGTTGACATAGGTGATGATAACACTGACTGGGAGGAAAAACATGTAATCCTGAGGAGTTGGATATCTGCTACAATGTATGAGGAAAGCATATATCTCATTGTGGGATGTTCAACTGCCAAAGAAATATAGAAATGCCTGGAGAAAGCATACCTGCAGGCAACCAAGGACAAGGAATTTCAACTTAAGCAACTGCTGCAGAACATCAAGCTAGGAACCAAAAGACTTGATGAATATCTGAAGGAGTTCAAAGGCATATGTGATGGTCTTTCACCCATACACAAGCCAAATGATAAGGACAGCAAAGTGATCACCTTTGCTAGAGGACTTGGTCCAAAGTACAAGACCTTTAGGACTGTCATGCTGGGAAAGGCTCCATATCCTACCTTGAACTAGTTTGTCAATGCTCTTAGAGGATTTGACATGAGAGAAGATGAAGAAGAAATGGCTCAACAAAGCTACAATATGGCCTTTGCTGCTCAAAGAGGAAGAGGTCGTGGGGGTTACTCTAACAGAAGAGGGAACTCAAACTTTTCCTTAAGAGGAGAAGGTTTCAGACCTGCGGGACAAGGCAGCAACCAGATTAATCAAGCTACTCAGAACACAGCAAATTCATATCAGCCAAAGGGCAAGGAAAATTATCAAATATGTGGAAGAAACAACGACACAACTTTAAAATACTTCTACAGGTGGGACTATTCCTACCAGGCTACAAAGGATTTGTCACAAGCCTTTTCTGCTATTAACCTGTAGAATTCACAGGCTGAAGATGAAGCTATGTATATTGACTTTGGTGCAAGCAGTCACATAACTAATTCAACAGGTAATTTGTCAAACCTTCAACCTTATAATGGTTCTGATAAGATAACAGTTGGAGACGGCTCTAAACTTGATATCACACATATTGGCAATACAACAAAATCTGGACTTAAAGTAAAGGAAATTGTTGTTGTTCCTAAGATTAAAAAGAAACTGTTGTCAGTTAGTAAGCTTGCTAAGGATAATTTTAGTACACTTGAGTTTGATGAATCTGATTTTGTAGTAAAGTACAAGAGCTCAGGGAGACTTCTGGATATGGGATCTAAGAAGAATGACTTATATGCACTGGAGGACAATAACTTTTATGCCTTATCTACATCAAAGGAGTGGAAGAATACAGACAGTATTTGGCATGCTAGATTAGGATACCCTAGTTTAAAGTCTTTAAATATTCTTAGTAGTAATAAATATATTGATGTCAAGTATTGAAATAAACTCCCTACTGTTTGTGTTAGTTGTCAGTTAGGAAAAGGATGTAAGCTTCCATTCGAATTGAGAAATAGGATTGAAAAAGAGCATTTGCTCAAAATTCACTATGATCTTTGGGGTCCAATCCCTGTTGAATCATCTCAACACATGAAATACTATATGGTTTTTGTTAATGACTGTATAAGATATACCTGGCTCTATACACTAAGAAGAAAATCTACATTTTATGACACCTTTTGTTAAGTTTCAAAGATTATCGAGAATCAATTCGCAAAGACTATTAAGATTTTTCAATGTGATGGATGTGGTGAATTTAACAACACTGCATTTGTTGAACACCTAGATAACTGTGGTATTGTTAGAAATATATCATGTCCTCACACACCTAAGCATAATGGAGTTTCTAAAAGGAAACACAGACATAGTAGAAACTGGTCTCACTTTGTTGTTTCATGCAAAGTTGTCACAGTTTCTTTGGGTAGAAGCCTTCTTGACAGTTGTATTCTTAATTAATAGAATACCTTCATCAGTGCTACAAATGGTAACTCCATTCTTTAAGCTCTTTGGAGAGCACCCGGATTATAATAGTCTAAAAGTCTTTGGATGCAAGTGTTTTCCTTACTTGAAAGGAAAAACAAAATTCTCTCCAAAGACATATCTTTATGTGTTTATTGGATATAGTAGCCTTCATAAAGGCTATAGGTGTTACCACCCACCTACCAGGAGAGTGTTAGTCTTAAGACATGTGGTCTTTGATGAGAACACATTGCCCTATGTGCAACCAGATGCACCACCAGACAGTTCAAGTGATTCTACTCACATTGCTACCTTCTATGAGTTTTTCTCCATGTTGCAGGATACCTTAAGCTCAGATGTGAACTCATCTAATTTACGGGAAGTGTTGAATGGATCACCACCAAGTGATCAGTCTACACCTGACTCTCCAATTGATGCTTCTACTGATACTCCTAATGAGACTGTTGAGCCTACACCAACGACTGACCACAATACTGAGCCTGCTGAATCTCTTTTAGCAGCAGTTCCTGCAGGAACAGATGATCACATCACTACTAATGCAGCTGCTGAATTTCAGTCCATTGGATCAAGTGAAGAACCAAATAGTTCAACTCAGGATAGTGCATCCTCTGACCCTAATATGTTTTCAGTTTATAATCCACAGGGAATTCATCTTGAAGTAGACTTGTCTCATTAGTTCAACACTGAACCTAATCAAGATACAGAAGTTATACCAACACAAGCAGAATCCACTGATGATGCAGAACCAGCAGAACACACATCAAATACACAAAAGCATCACATGGTGACAAGACAGAAATCAAAATACTTTCCAGTAAAACACATGTGTCCGGTAACAGCTAAGGAGCCATGGATTATAAATGAGGCACTTAGCTCACTAGAACGGCATACAGCTATGCAAGAGGAGATTAATGCACTTCACTAAAAATAGACTTGGACACTGTGCCCAAGGCACCTGGTATGAATATAGTTGGCTCTAGGTGGGTGTTTAAATCCATGTTAAAGGCTGATGGATCCATTGATAGGTACAAGGCAAAACTAGTTGCCAAAGGATATTCACAACTTGAAAGAGTGGACTTTGAAGAAACTTTCAATCCAGTTGTTAAAGCAACCACTATAAGAGTAGTCCTCAGTAGCTGTGAGTTTTCACTGGTGTATCAGGAAACAAGATGTAAAGAATGCATTTTTGCATGGACATCTACAGGAGGAGGTGTACATGAGTCAACCACTAGGTTTTAAAGATCCTAGACGTCCTAACAGTGTGTGCCTTCTAAAAAAAGCATTATACGGCCTTAAGCAGGCACCTAGAGTCTGGTTTGACAGGTTTAGTCCATATTTGTTTCCCCTTAGGTTTAAATGTAGTAAGTAAGACTCCTCACTCTTTGTGATGCACTGTATAAGAGGCACACTCCTGCTTGTTATGTATGTTGATGATATAATTGTCACTGGGAGTCACACTACACTAATTTCAAAAATCATTGGTGAACTAGGGAAGGAGTTTGCTATGGAGGACCTTGGCCCTCTGCACTTCTTCTTAGGGATCGAGGTCACATACTTTACTGGAGGCATTTATCTGAATCAAAGTAAATATGCTTTAGAATTACTTGTCAAGATTAGCATGGCACTTGCTAAACCAATAAGCACACCTCTAACACAGAAGCATGGTCTACAAGAAGCTGTAGATAATCCGGTGGATGCTTCACTATACAAGAGTATTGTTGGCAGTCTTCAATATTTAACTCTCATAAGGCCAGACATAGCTTATGTAGTAAATTTGGCAAGTCAATTCATGCAGAGTCCAAACAACACTCATTACTAAGTTGTAAAAAGGATACTTAGATATGTGAAGGGGACAACTAAGTATGGTCTAAGAATCTTGTCTTAGTCACCA